GCCCACCAACTTCCCTGGCGCCGTCCCCGACAACTGCCTCCTCAAGAACGCCAACTGGTGTGGCTTCGAGGTACCCGACTACACCAACGAAGACGGATGCTGGGCTTCTGCGGACAACTGCTGGGCCCAGAGCAAGAAGTGCTTCGAGTCTGCCCCGCCCTCGGGTATCAAGGGATGCAAGATCTGGGAACAGGAGAAGTGCCAGGCGCTTGCCAACTCGTGCGATGCGAAGCAGTTCACCGGCCCCCCGAACAAGGGCAAGAGGTGGGGAGATGTGACGGAGCAGTCAAGCGTCCAGGTCCCCGGGGTGATGAAGGGTGCGGATTTGGTGGACGATCCTGTCGACACCACCAGCAATGAAAAGGCCAACAACAACGTCGTCAGCATCCCCGCAGCAGCCACAGCTACTACCTTCATCACCACCTCTTCCGCCGCTTCCAAGCCTGTCACCACCGTCCCTTCTGTCGCCATCACCACCACCACCGCTGCTGTTGCTATTCCTACTGAAACTGCTGCCCAAAACACACTCATCAGGTGTGGCAGGGCTGACAAGAACCAGAGGCGGGCAATGCACATTAACAGGCATAAGCGGGCGGATTTCTAAGCAGTAACCTGTCTTCTTTCTTTTTTTCTTTCTTTGGCTGGCTGGCTGGCTGGCATGATTGCTTTGATGATCTTTTTGATATAGTGGGTGGGCTAGGTGGCTAGCTCCAAAAAGAGAAAACCTTCGCTTCTTTACCGTCCTTTATGATTTGACACACAGTTTATCTTCACTTCTTCCATCTTTTGCATTTTGGACTAGGGAAACTTTGTTTGATTTCGGCTGGGGTTGCTGGATAAAACACTTGAAAGACTTGAAAGATGAGCTTGAGGTACTTGCCTCTTGGCTCAGCTGACACTGCATGTTCAATCTCTTTTTGGACACGGGATAGATGGAACAAAAACGTCTGGGTTAAACGGATATATTTCAAGAGAAACGGCATGAATGATTCAATGCTGCCCATTTGGGCATCTTGTTGGAGCGTCTTGTTGGAAAAAATGAAAGCTATTTCTCTAATCTGTCTTTTCCGATATCTTGATGCATGAATCTACAATGTCGTTTTTGACAAAGTCTAGACGAGGTGATGCAATGATGACCACATATGACCCGCCTCCTCGCTTCATATGCTAGTAGCTGTGTAAAGTTGTAGCCCGCCATAATCTGACACATTAACCTCCAGTGTCGTGAAACACACAAGATCAAGCAAGACCACCAAACAACCGCACAAATACAAAGTTAAGCCAGCCATCCAGGTGCTCCTCTATCCATTTAGCCACCATAAATCTTTCCTTATGAGACTCCACAGTCCTTAATCCAGAGACTAAGAAAGCAGCTTCATAATATCAGCCATCCTCGTCTCCTTAACCTTCTTCTTACCATCCTGCTTTTCCTGGAAAGCCTTGCCAACCAACTCTCTCTTCTCCTTCTGAATATCAAGCACACGTTCTTCAATCGAATTGTCCATAACCAGTCTCCACACTGTTGTCGGCCTGGTTTGACCAAGACGATGGACTCGGTCGACGGCTTGATCTTCGATGGCGGGTGCCCACCAGCTGTCAGCAAGAATGACAGTGTCAGCTGAAACCAAATTCAAGCCCACGCTGCACACGCCCAAGCTAGCCAGCAAGATACGCGTATTGGGGTCGTAGTCTAGGGCGCGGATGGCGGCGTCGCGCTGGGCGGCGTTCATGCTGCCGTCGATCCGGGTGTAAGTGTACCCGGCTTCGTCTAACTGGTGTTGGATGATGGTGAGGAAAGAGGTCCATTGACTGAAGATAATAGTTTTGGAACCCTCCTTATCAAGGGTCCCTTTGACAAGCGCCAACACAGCTTCGGTCTTGGAGCTCTTGGTTTCAGACTCAAGTTCCTCTTCGTCCTGAGTGGCCGAGTGCTCGGGCGCTGGTTCAAGAAGTTTGTCTTCTGAGAGGGGAGCGCGGCACATGGGGCACTTTTGCTGAACTTCAATGACCTTGTCAATACAACCTCGACAAAAGACGTGCTTGCAATGTGTGATGATCGGGTTGCTCAGCGGGTCAATGCAGATAGGACACTCTTCTTGACTCTCGATGTAGAGTTGAAGTGCCTGTTGCAGAATGGCGCGGTTTTCATCGGTGAGATCAACCACATCTTTGTCTGCGAGAAGCTCGAGAACTTCTGTGATGCGCTTCTTGCACAACACCCAGTGATTGCAACTAGAGTCTGGTTAGCATCTTCACTGTGCTCAACACCTTGGAATACCTACGTTTGTCGAAGCCTTAGCAGTCTCTCCAGGACACCCTGAAATTGTCCCTGTGAGCGCTTCGACTGCGTCCGGTAGTTTTCCAGAACGCCCTGTGCCTCAGACCTGATTCATGTGTTAGCTCACTAGCATTGTGAAGATTAGAAGATGTGGAGGAGCTTACAGTAAAGCATCGTACTTCTTCTGCTCATCGGGCCAGAAGGTGATGCGAGAAATATGTTCTGTCTTCTCCGGAAGCTTCAAATCAACAAACTTCATATCCTTCTTTCTGCGAATGCAGAGATCTCTCATTAAACTTTTCAACAGAGCTTCACCCTTGGGCTCCCCGTTGGCAAGTGGCCTTGTGAGAACAGTGTTGAAGATTTCTGACTGTTCAATTCCGCCTGTTATGCGGAGAAACTTGAGTAACGAATGGAGATCACGAATCGTGTTGATTCTACGTAGAGAGTCTTGTCAGTACTGCACGTAAACATTGTTGATTGTCCAACTCACATTGGCGTTCCGGTAAGTACCCATCTGGACTTGGCTTCCAATTTGCAAGCATTCTGAGCTACTTGGGCTTTGGCATTACGAATGCTATATCGGGTTTGTTAGCATTGTACGTAGGGTACCCAGACCATGCATTGTTTGACCCACCTGTGTCCTTCGTCAAGAACCACTCTTCTCCAGCGAGTCTTTACTAGAGCGTCATCGGACAAGGTTCCGTAGCTGGTAATCACCACATCTCGGTCTTGGAGCGTTTTGGCAAATTCTTTGCGTTTACTTCCATGATATATGACGATCTTTGGCTGATGTTCCTCGTGAACATGGCGTCTGATCTGCTGCTTCCAGTTGCTCATCACACCAACGGGGGCGACGATGAGGGTAGGGCCAGTACCCAGGCCTTCGGTCATGATGAGGCTGATGATCTGGATAGTTTTGCCGAGGCCCATGTCATCGGCACATATGGCGCCTGACATTAGCTGTGGGGGAGACTTGTTATAGAAGCCTGTTGCCATGTTGTAGTACCGGCCGTCGGCGGTATGCTGCCAGAGCTGTACTGAGTCGGTAGACCCCTTTGCAGGCATTGTAGGGTTCTCTTTAGAGATCATCCAAGCAAGGCCTTGAAGCTGATAGGGAAGCAAGTTTGCGCGCAACTTTTCGGGCTGGGAAGCCATTGGAAGGTTGGCCAGGTCCTCCTCACTCATGGCGAGTGACTTGATCATATCACCGCCGGAGCGGAAGTTAGTGACCTCGCTCATCTTGGCCAACTGTTCCATTGTAACTTGGGGCTCCGGCTCTTGCGTTTGACTAGGGAAGCCATAGGTACCATTGCCCCTGAGTTCAAGTGTCCGTTTCTTTCTCTGCTCCTCATTTGCTTTGCGTGTTTGGTTGAGTTGGGTGGCTTTGACGAGTTTGTCCTTTTTCAGCCGTTCCTCGAGCCTGGCTCGTTGAAGTGGCGCGCTCGTGCCATAGAAATAGAGTCGAACGGGGCAGTCGTAGAATTCTTTCTCTCCAGTAAGCATGCCCTCAACTACAAGGTCGCCGTTGTCCTGGATTGGATTAGAAATAGAAATTGCTGAAGTGATTCGAAGGGTATACATACCATGTAAGGGGCTAGCTTGGCAGCAACGGTCCTCGGGATATGGCCTATCTGTGTACCCAACACGTTATCTACGCGAATAGCATTGGGGTCGTACTGGTTCTGTGGTTCTCTCTTGCAGACAACCACTTCACCGGGAGAGGCTACGCCGTTGTAGTATCGCACACCGACAATCTTGCCATCTATCTTGAATTAGCGTGGGAAGTAGGCAGCAGTCGGAGGTATGGTATACGAACCGAAATGTCCATAGAATTCGAGGACAGGGCCAGGATCGGCCTGGGTAAGGTCAATGACCTCGGCTTCATCGTCCGACTCGAGTATGTCGGGCTGGGTGCTGAGCCAGTTCAGGGTGTCATGGATGGCCTGCACATGCTCCGGAGGACGATGCTGCGAGCTCGGAGTTGCTTGGCTGCTACGTGCTGAGTGAGTGCTTGTTGCTCCCTGGGTGTTGTGCCTGCTCTGGGCACCCTGTGTGCCTGGTGGCGTTTGCCAAGGTAGTTGCCGTCGTCCGGAGCTTGTTTGGCTCGACGAAGAGAGGCCATTGGTGCTAGTAGACTGTGGGACATACTGTGATTGAGAGGGCCCCGAGGACGAGCTATCAGCGTTCAATCGACGGCGACGTGCTTCATCTCGGCGATCGGAAGCAGCCGCTCCGACGCCAGAAGTGTAGGGCCGCTTTGGCATTGTTGCTCAAGGTTGGCAGGATACGTATCGAAATGCCTTTGAGGATACCAGAATGTGGTGGTTTCCACTTGTGGAAGGAAAGTTCCGATAAAGAAGAGAAAATTCGAGCCCCTCCTTCTACACTTTTCCAAACTCGCAGACGCAACACAAAAGTTGGAGAATGGGTTAGGTTGGAAACTAATCAACCCTTACCTTCACATGTCGGTGCGAGTCGGAGATTCGAGACACCGATGGATTTCCCCACACGGGGGAGAACGAACGCGGAATCCTTGTCGCTGTAATGCGAACTCACGTGATGCGCCATAGGATTGTGTGCCTTCCATTCGGTCAAGGGAATGATAAGATAAGAGACTAGTAAAGTAGGGAATGACGTCACTCCCAAGTGGTTAAATACTGGAAGAGCAAACCCGGAAGACTTTGAAACTGAACTTTGGATTAAAAGATATTCGGAAGTTTTTAGGGATGGAATAGCTTGAGTTATAATATGAGACATGCCATGGGGCGCATACGCAACTCAAAGGAAGGACATACAGTCCGATGCTGGTTTGTTTGTTAGCTTCCATGGTACACAACTGAACGTACTTGAAGTACTGTACCAGACTCTCTACACTGGACGAAATCTATCCCGAATAGTCCCAAACCTCGCAAGAACAAATTAAAATAGCTAACACCAATGATAAAAGGTATAAGTCGGATTTGATATGGCATTTTTGACATTAGAAATAGCGTATCCAAGGTGGGATCACGCATTAGTTAGCTATGAAAACGCATAGGAAAGTTGACACGAGGTCTCGAACTAACAACCAAACCAGTACTGTACTGTACAGAATAAGCAGTTACCCACAGAGTGAAGAACACGATAATATACAAGAGCACGACGACAAACATGAGGTTACACGTAGCATGTTTCTTTGATGATATATATATTTTCATAGGATTCCGTTATCCTGACCATTACGCTGTGTCCAGAGATGAGCAGAAGCATTTCAGACTTTACCAACTTGTAAACGTACAATACATCATGATGAAAGTGTACAAAGAGCCAAAGAACTTCCAGCATCATGACCACATTGAAACCACTCGATACAGCGAGCAGCCTTCCATGCGCTGTATATCACAGTAAACTTGAAACCGTATACCGTCCTGTCAATGGACGACCGATGCCAAGATCATTATATCCGTCATATACACATTGATGCGCTCCGAACGCCACCGAAAAAAGAAAAAAAAAAGGCAACGCATATATTAGGATCGTTTCTAACCGTCACTGTGAAGATGGAACAAAGCGTAATTGTTAGCCTCCATTGACTCTTTCGCGGGTGGGTGTGAAATGTTTTTTGTTGATAATTGTCATAAGGGGGAAGAACTTGGACTCGAGCACAAAGCCCAAGCCACACAACTGAAAGAAGGGAATATTAGTAGAGGGAAAAAGAAAGGGAATCCACGTACAGCAGAGCCAGCGTTACATCACCATGAATGTGCGCCTTCAACTCGATTTCCACCTCTAAATTGAGGTCTAATCTCAGCCTGAGTGGGTTCTTGCCTCCATTGCCACCGCCGCTTTGCTGCATCTGCTGTTGTTGTTGTTGTTGCTGCATCAACATCATCTGGTTTTGCTGTTTCTGCTGCTGCAGCGCTTGCCTCTGGCGGTACGACTTTGGCTCTTCTTCTTCGGAATCCTCTTGGTCGGCGAAGCGGGGACGGCGACGGCGACGAGGCCTTTCAGCGACCTCCTGGTTGCGGTTCTTCTTCTTCCTCTTGTTTTCGTCGCGCATGAACTTGGGCTGCGGAGCTTCCTCGTCCTTGGGCGTGGAAGGCTGAGATTCCGAGGAAGACTCTTCAACGGTAGCGGCGTGCTTTTTAGCACTGCCACCTGCTTTCTCTTTCTCTTCCTCTTCCTCTTCCTCTGCCTCGGAATCGTTTTCAGACCTGTCGTCGTCATCATCATCCTCATCATCATCTTTCTGTTCGTTATTATCCCTCTCATTGTTATCGTCGTTCTGCTTCTCGTCATCGTCGTTGTCATTCTTTTTGACGTTGCTGATCTCTGGATTGGGTCCCGTTGTTCCATCCTGGGCTTGTTCCGTGTGTTCATCCTTCTTCTCCGCAGCTTCTGGCTTTGGGGCCTGGTCGTTGTTGTTTGGTGTCTGGGCGATGTTAGTTGCCAGCGTCGACCTCACACCGGGGATACACTCACAGGATCCATCTTCTTTACTGGTAATGTGTAGAGGTATTTCCTGCGCAAGGTTGCTATGGTAGGGGTGTCACAAAGACAGAAGGGAAAGGAAAGAGAGGTGTTTTGACTTTGCAAATGAGTTTCTAGAGAACAGCTAGAACAGGAGACCAAAGAATATTGAAAAGGTTGATACCGGTTTAAAGGACATGACGCATATTTGGTATCCAACCTTGCCAATAATTCCGGATGGAGGTAATGTTCACAAGACAGCCCAAGATCATCAACAGGGTCACAGCGCGAAGGAACGGAGCAAAAGTCAAGGACCCTGATGCAATCAACTCATGTCATCATACCTTGAAGACTGAAACAGAAACACATGGCTTCCCACCATGAGACCACCACATGCAGGTAGCTCTCCATCCACTAATCCACTGCGCAACGAAGCTGACCTACCCCAGTTCCCCCAGAGTGACGACATGGGGAGCCGTTTCCCAAGACCTAAAGGTTGTAATGCCATCCCAAAAAACGGAGCATAATACCCGTTCTCTTGCATAAACCACACGCCCACCTGCTGCGTGTCTGATGAAGCCCTTGCACATCAGACGAAGTCGTCGCAGTAGGTTCTATCGCGGGGATAAGCGAGCTATGACGTCGAACCGACCTAAAGAGCGGATCTTATTTGGAGATCAAGCTTTTGGAGGGTGGGATCGCGAACGTTACGTGCATTGAGATGACATCGAGGCGACAGGGGGGCGGGGGTGTGGATACATAACATAACAGCTACAGCTACAGCTACAGCTAGGGACGCATCGCCAGGCACGAAACAGTTTGTTTTAAGAAGAGAAAGAAACGGATGCACGCTAACTGTCGGTAATTATAGTATATGATGGTGTCTCTAAGTGGAAGGAAGCACCTGGTAAAACTACATACGGTACCCAAAACATTCAACCAAAGCGAACTACTACCACATTTTTTTGTTCCAAGGCCCGAGAGACACTCGCTGTTGACAACTCAATCAAGTAAACCCCAGCTACGGAATCAAGGAGAAATGGTTATCGGCCTTCTGATCATTGCGGGAATTCCCACAACAATAGGCGTCTGCGAAGCCTTGAGTGCGCAGAAAAAAGCCAACAACGCATCTAAAGAGAAAGCCAAGTTCCAGTTGACAGCCGCTATATCCCTCGATGGAGGACCGTCGGAAGAGTGTTTTTGTGTGTTGAGAGATGGAAGAGTAAGTTTGGTTTACATTACCGCAGTCAGCTGCTGTCATCCAGACTTTCGGATGGAGAAGCGATGAATGACATCAGCCCCCCCCCCCCCATTTCCTGCACCCCCCACCATATGATACCCTTTGGCTTACACGTCTGACAGTTATGGATCGACCATCCCGACTATCCCGTGCCAGGCCATAGGTTTATGGGGTACTACTTCACATACCCCTCTGAAGAGAAGCACCTGGGCATGGTGAGCACGATAGCAGACGATCCGCCCATGCTAAACTGGATTTATTGCGATAAGGACACTGGCATGGTTAAGCACGGCGGCCGTCAAGCTACCATTGGGCATACCATCGGTCCTTGGTACTGGAGCGATGACGAGACGTGGCTGACGCTCGAAGGGGACACCTTACACTTTGTTGCTGTTCAAGACGAGGAAACCCAGAGATGGTGCGTTTACTGGGACAAGGATAGGAAGATCAGGGGATCAAGCGGTAGTTATTCAGACGAGGAATCAGAGGGAGAATCGGAAGAGTCAGAAGCGGAAGATGATTCTGAGTTTAGCGGCAGTGAAACCGGGGAACCAAGAAAGCCCATAAAGACATTTGAAAAGAAACCCAAAAAGGGAGCTGGGAAGAGCGAGGGCCAGCAAAACGGAGGTGGGGACACCGAGGGGAAGAAGACAGAGGTGAAAACGGAGGACAAGCAGGATGATGTTAGGGAAGCTCCTCCTGCTCTGCCGCAAGTACAGAAGCCTGTGAAATGGGTTCCGATCCTGCTGCGTCGTCGAATGCAGTTAGGGATGGAAAGCCGATACGTCAAGGGCGCCAATGGCTAGGAACATAAGCGTAGTGGTGTGGATCATGCAGGGATAATACAAGAATTGTAATGTGATGAGATGGTGGGCTCACTGCATAAGATCGCGATAGGTATCATGAAGGGTACCTAGCGGTGATAGGGCCCTGAAATTGTCATCAATGCTGATATTAATCGGGTTTTTGACGACCAGGGTGGCTTGGCCCGGTCTTGTCACATTTATGCAACCCTGATAGCAAGAAAACGAAAACTGGATTCCAACTTGGTCTTGTCTCCGCTGATGTTCACCTCATGGCTAAGAAGTCGACCAACTAGGAGAGAGAAGGGGGGGATGGCTGCACAAGGCACCCAACAGCCGACTTTAACAGCAAAAATGATGGGAAATTTTGGCACATACTACATGCAGTCCCGTATGGTGGACTTGCATAGCATAGGCATGCGTGACGGGAATGGGGTGTTGCAACGTCCTCGCCACCAAACAGGAGGTAGCCTCACCGGATAACGGGAGCTCGATGACTTCATTGCTGAAGCTCGGTTCTCATGGGCCCCGTGTTAGTTTTACCACTCTTTGGACCACACCTCAAGATACTTTATTTTAAGGCTTGCTCCTTCTTCAGTATTTGAGACGTTCTGAGAAAGACAGTTCATGGGATTTTTCTGAAAAGACATCAGTTCTTGACACCGACCAAATTTCGTACCTTTTTCTTCGGAGCTCAAATACATCAACATCTACCAAACACCGCCAAAATGTCCACCCAAAGCGGCTCTGACACCAGCAAGAAGTCTAAGCGTCAGCCAAAGAAGCAGGCGCAAACCTACGAATCCGAGTCCGAATCCGAGGACTACGCCCCCCCTCCCCGGCGTAAGCGCGGCAAGAAGCAGGGCCCTCTCGACTCGCTCGCCCTCGACAACGTTAATAACACGGTCGGCGGTCTCACCCAAGGCGTTACGGGCGCGTTGGGTGGCGTCGCGGGCGGTGCTGTCCAGAATCACCAACAAGGTGGTGGTGGTGGTGGTGGTGGTGGGAAGTCCGACACCTTGAGGCTTAGACTCGACCTCAATCTCGACGTCGAAATAACGCTCAAAGCAAAGATCCATGGGGACCTCGAGCTGGCTCTGTTGTGAGTATCTGGTCTTCTTTCATTGTCGTCGCGCTCTTTTCCGTGGTGTTGCAATTCTGCGAATAACTTCAACCCCCCCCCCCCCCCCCCCCCCCCCCCTCCCCCAACACCCCACCCCACCCACCCATTTGGCTTTTGGACTTGCACAGAAAGAACACCTCTTGGCTTTTGGATGACAGCAATGAGAGAGTTTGTTTCAAGCATGTTGCTTTTGTTGCGTGCGTTGAAACTTTTCCCTCCATCTGCGATTACCAAATGACCAACGCCAGGGGATTCTTCTCAGTCTTTGATCTCGTCACACTCTACCTACCTGCCTCTACCTATCCATGAAACCGTTCAACCCATGTTTCTTGCCTTGGGCTAAAGGTCGATGTAGAGAAACTTGAGTTCATGTCTTGAAAGGGGCGCCTCAACCCCGCCAAATAAGACACAGAACTGGTTCACGCGCCGAACCACAATCCAGACATGACTTTGTCTTCTGTTGTACGATTATGGCGCCCGGATGAAAGGAGAAGGAGAAGGATGGGAATGTCCTGCACGGCGCAACCTTCATCAACACCGTTCGACGCCAAGAAGCAAGAGAAAGCAGAAAATGGTTACTGAAACATGGGACTAATTCTTTAGGAACTGAAGCAACTAGTTTCCCCCGGTCCAGTACCCTGCCGTTCCCCGTTTGAACTGGCGGCAGCGGAAAAAGCTTCTTTTGATTGGGAATAGGTGGAGTTTGTCGGATCGGATTGGAATCAGAATTGGGATACGGATTCGGCTTAAGATTGGGATATGATCATGAAGAGTTCATGAAAGGAAAAGACGGGACAGAGAAGGAAGTTCTTTGCTTCTTCTCACACATTGTCAAAGGAGTTTAACGGCATTCTGTGGTTCAGGTTTCGATTCTTTGGGGGCTGTACAATTTTATGATTCTTCTCTTCAAGCGCTATACATAATGCCTACCTATAAGTTGCGGGAGTTTGATTGAACTTGGAACATAGTATTCTGTCGTTCCGCTATCATGGCTGTTGCTGCTTTGTTGAGAGAGCGTTGTCCATCACGATAATTCTCCCACCTCCTGGTCGCCGAACGAGACATGAATTTGACGCCCGATCACGTCAAGAACAATAGCCATTGTGCAACGCGATCCTGCTAATCCCGTGTAATCACAACTTAAGTCAGGGTGACGGATCTCTGAACCTCCCAGGCCAGCACCCGTGACATGGGAGGAATGCCACCGCTGCTGTGTCACCTAACCCGGCTCGTCCGAGACAAAATAAGTGAGACTACCTAACCAACAGGCTAAGGTAAACCAGTCTACTACTACTCGTTGAGTTTAAAGAAAAGGCCGTTGCAAAATTGTGATAGGGATTACAACAATTCGAAAAGATATCGGCTAGAGTCCTATTTGTATATTTACATCTAGAAATTGCCTAGAACTTCAAACCAGAGGTGTTACAAAGACGCTTGGATGCGTAGTAGGAGTATACCCAAGGTATAATGTCACAGGTCTCGACTGTTTTGTCTACGACGAGCCCGGCCCGAAGGTGCGCCAAGACATCGTTGCACTAACACTTGGACTAAATCGAGGGAACCACGGGGCAGCAAGGACCCGCATCGACATTCCAACTGCTGCAGTTACCCATCCGACTTCTGACCTCCACTTGCTTCGTTGCCCTTTGTCTTGGTTTTTATTCTCCGCAAACCCTGAACGTCACATCGTGGGATCTGATCTCAGGATTTATTTCCCGAAGTGAAACCTTCCGGACCTTGTTCTTCACTAGGGCGTTTCATCCAGGAGAATGGAAGCGGCAGAAACCTGTTTCTTGCTGCTCGCCAAGGTGGGCCACAACACCATCTTCCGGACATCTACCTTCCGGGCATAGTGTTGATATCTGTTAATCGCTGACTTTTGTCTATGGAACTCCAACAGTATCACGCGCTTGTCTAGTTGGTATAAGGAAAGGAAACACGATGTATCAGAGTAACTTCTCACAGTCAAGGCCCTGGTCACATTTTGATTACACCGAATCCTCCCTGAACCAGGAAGAGAGATGCACCTTCTCACGGGCACCTCACCAAGCACTAACAAATTCGATCTAACTGGCCAGCCGAATTTTATCTCCAAGGCGGAATCAGCTAGAAGATGTCCACACCAACCACTATCTATCTTGACAACCACAGTGACATGTGATGTCATGATCTTGGTCAAGCAAGGCAGCGCGTCCTTCGTCTAACGCAACCATCGTACCATATACCCCTCCATCATGTCCCTTCGCGTCCAAGGAACTATGGCATGTACGTTCATTCAGTCACAGACCTCTTCTCGCAGCCAACCTTTGAATTCGTACAGCCCAGTAGACGACGACGCACACAATTCAACGGACACGGACACTACCGACGGCGCGCGCACGTACAGTACGGTACACGTTTGGGCTGCTGCGCCTCACCATTTTTCGCTGCTTCACCGGCCTGCAGTCTTGACCCCTCTTCAAGTTCGAAGCCACCTTGCCATTGCCTTGTCACGTTTGGGTGCGGGCGCGGGCTTGGGCTTGGGCGTGGCTGACGGTGGTGACCGATTGCTTTTGTTGTTTCGAAACTCGGACCGCTGGCTGCTATAACTGCTGCTGTTAATGCCCGTTACCACCGAGATACCCACATCCACACAAAATATACTACAAACCACGCACAACCACTAGCGGAAGAGGCGTGCATAGCATCTACAATTGCCTTGGCCCACGACTTAGTCCTGGTGGAGGTTCGCTTGTGCGGCAGCCCGCTTTGTAGATACCTCGTCCAGCTCAGAAAACAGTCTCCTAAACAAGCTGGCTTGGTCCAGGAAGAACAAGTTCCTAGGTCAGCTACACCGTAGCATGACCTCGAAATTCTCGTCTCCGCCGGATCGCGACAGCTCCACCGGTGGCGGCCAGCAAGCTGCTTTTTCCTCGCCCTCCGCTCGGCAGAGCAGGGACGGGGCGGCTTCCCATGCTGGTCGTCCCAGACCTTCTACAGCTACTTCCCGCGGCGGCTTCGCCAGCGATGAACGGTCGACACAGGATGGGATGACCGACTACATGTATGAAGAAGACGCCGACGAGGAAGCAGAAGAAGCACGACACGGCAGCAAGAGTGGAAGCGATATTGAGGTTGATGATATCACGGACGCGCCGCGATCACCAAAATCGACACCAAACATTAACAAGTCACCAGAAAGACCACCACCTCCACCACCAAAACACAAAAAGAAGACCCTACCCGAAGACCCAGCTTATGTTGCGCCCATAGGCAAGATTGGGCCAATAGGGAGCATCCCCAAAATCCCTTCCCGCAGCAACAGTGAAAAGGGCGGCATCTCCGTCTCTCCCTCCTCGCGCCCCCAACTTCCTCCCTACATCGGCTCCTACCTCAAAGGCAAAACCGTCGACGAATACGGGGATATCATTGATCCCCAAACGGGCACAATCCTCGCTCACGCCGGAGGCGATTTACCTTCGATTGTGGGCAGGCAAGTGTCCAACGACCAGGGGGATATCTTGGGGGATGAGGGGGAGTTGCTGGGATATGTGGCTGATGTTGAGGTTGGGAAGAAGACTGCTTCTCCCGAGGAAGCAGCACCAAAACCGATGATGAGTCTTGCAGAGGTTATGAGCAGAAACAACACGGCGTGGATGGTGGATCATGATGGTAATATTTTGGACGCGCAGGGGAATGTGGTGGGAATGTTTTTGGATCATAACAATCCTGTGCACAGGGAGAGGCAAGAGAAGGAGGAGAAGAAACAGGAACAGAAAGGAGAGGGGAAGGGGAAGGGGAGGGAGAGAGAGGAGGAAGGGGGGTACCTGTGCCACACTATGAAGAGGCTGACAAGGATGAGAAAGAAGGAGCTGCCGAGGAAGAGCCGCAACGCGAACAATCAAGACCACCGAGGAGAACGGAAGAAGAGAGGAGGGCCAACGCGGCTGCGTGGAGAAAGGAGAATCCGGGGGAGAGCCCCTCGGACATCTTTCTGGATGTCAAGTCGACGACGGAGGGGATTCAGTTGACGATTAGGATCCCCACTGTGTTTGGGAATGGGCAGCAGTTGAAGCCAAACATTTCGTTTTCTTGAGCAGCATTGTATGGGCTACTTTGTCAAAAATGGGATTAGAGCGGGCGTGATGGGAGTTTGAAAGACTGATTGATGTAATGGTTAAAGGGGAACAGAAGCACCAAAAGTTAGCAGTACCTGTACATGCGGCAACTTTACGAATAGTTACAGACAGTGCTCTCAATAAGGCAAATAAATAAATCTTTATAATGGATTTGCCTCAAATCGTTTCAAATCGCTTGATTTGCCTCATTTCACAGCCAAAATCATTTCCCTCATTTCGATAACAATCTCGGATACCCAATTTTCCGGTCCCGGCTTACAGTAATTACACACCATTATTAGCCGTATTAACCTCAAAACACAATAAAAACGACAGGAAAATTACATAGATCATAACATATAAACTCAAACCTCCTCTACTTTATTCTCCAAACAGCTCTATACCCTTATATATAATAGTTTATTGAGCGTATTATTATTTAAGCTGTTTTTTAGTATACCCAATACTTAATTTATAAAGTTGAATATCTTTTTATAATTATTGGATATTAATAGAATAAATAAATAATCGAATACTATCCTCGCTATATATAGGAACCTTTCTTTATTCTACCTCTACTATATTAGAGGGTCGATTATTTATTTAGGCTTCTCTTTTAAATAAATTGTAAATTCCTCTTCAAATAACGGCGGTAATAGTATAGTATTATAATATTCCGGCGGCGTTAATTAATTATATATAAAATCGGTCGATAAGGAAAATAGTATTATAATTGTAATAAGTATATTATTATTAGTTCGCTCTTATTCCCTCTCCTTCTTTTAATTGGTCTTTTAATAATAATTATAATAGATTATTTTAAATTAATAAATAATTTTATTAGCCTTATCCTTTAATAATTACTATTCGATATACTTCTTTCTATACTTAGGGTAAAGGATTAGAATAATCTTATACAATAAAGTTTTATTTATAAATTCTACATATTTATTAAATTTAATAATCACCTTATTAATACTCTATTGAATAAATAGGAAATTAGCGTTAATTAACGTAGGGAGAGGAGGAGGTTAATTGCGTTAGCTATTAGTAGGTTATTATTATTAATATTAAGAGGAGGAGGGTTAATTAGTACGGGGAGGTTGACTAATACGAGAAGGATTACCGCTATAAGAGGGATTATTGCGAGAGGGACTACCGCGGCGAATTTGGCTGCCGGTAAGAAGGAAGGAAACTATTAGTTAATAATTATATTATTAAATATTAAGTAAATCTAATTTATACCTATCAAAATACTGTAGTAAATTATTAGTATAGTAGAATTAATTCTATATATTAATTTTTTATAATAGTAATTCGCTAATAATATCTTCCTCCTCCTCTTCCTCTTCCTCGTTATTATCGCCGTTATTATAGAAATTAATAACATTAAGTTTCCTAATGCGATTAGACGCGATCTTCTCGTTATAACGGTCCTATAGTACTTTAAGATTAGTTACTATATAATAAATAACGGTTAGTTGTTAGGAACGTAGGCGAAAGGTAGGTTGAGGTGACTACGGTCGTGGCCGCACGTAGGGGACGGCAGGTTAGGGGTCAATCCAAAGATGTATTGATAGCTACCGACTATAATAAAATACGCTCCGTTGAACCTCTTTTATACCTGTGTAAACTCTGTTCCTCTATTAACAAGTATTATAGAGCTTTATATTAGTTTGGCGCCTCGGCGTAGTGCCGGATTATCCTTCCCGCGGGTCCGACTTGAGATGGGCGTTATTATAAATGATCCTACGTTTCTATTAATAAAGGGGAATAGTAGCTACTGAGGTGCCTCTGTATACGAACTTTTAGCTTCCTAATACAACCCCCTCCTTTATAGGTTCCGTCCTCGGAACCTCTATAATAAACGCCGGGTACCGTAATATTATTGGATATTACTCGCTATAACTACTAACGCTGTATTCCGGATTATAGCCGCTCTGCTACTAGCGAACCGTCCGCTAGAGTATCGGCATTGTAATATCCGTTCTTATAAACTCCAAATACGGCTACGAAGCCGGTATTAGATCTAAAGAATTGGCGTTCCGCCTACTAGTATATCGGCGCTATAATATCTATTTTTATAGACTTTAAACGCAGGTACGAACCTGGTATTAGATTTAAAGCGCTAATATACCGCCCGCTAGAATATTAGTATTATAATATTTATTTTTATAATTCTAAATATAGATATAAAACTATTATTAGATTTAAAGCGTTAGTAGGGTTCCCGACCATTATTAAGACTGTTATCCCGTAGGTGTATGAGGGGGTAAATTTCGTTTTACCTAACGAGGAATATTATTTTAAATTTAAGAGTATTAATAAGTACTTTAGAATATTAATATAATTATACTTTATAGTTCCTCTCCCCAAATATTTTCCGTTATCTATATTCGTAGTATAGCTTAATACTTTCGTAGGGTACCCTCCATTATTTACGCCTGTTTTAGAATACTTATATAATTGAAACCCAAGGCTCTTTTTATAAATTATTCTCTATTATTCGTATTTATTACAATTTACTACGATATTTAAATACAATCCCCCCCCTTATAGGTTCTATCCTTAGGACCTTTATTTTTATTTTCTACTTCTTATAATTTTATATATTATTTCCTCTATAAACTTCCCTTATTTATATTATTCCTTTTTAATTACTTTTCCATTACCCTCGCTTTGTTCTTTATATTATTCCCTCTTTTCTAATAGTACAATTCCTAACTACTTCCCCCACTTTCCTTATTATAGTCCGAAGTATATACTTTTCTATTTTCCGCTTTTCCCTCTTATTTTTTTACAATTACCGCTATTATTTATTTATTCTATCCTTCCCCTTTTAACTATTACCCTCGTCCTATCCTTCCGTTTACCCCTTCTTACTACTTATATAATTACTTAACGTTCTACTTACTTTATATTATTTTATATTTATCCGCCTTGAATTATATTTACTTATTTTAATTTATATTTATATAGGGACCTCCTCCTTTATTTATATAATGTTCCTTCCGCCTACCTTCTTCACTTTTCTTCTCTTCTTCCTCCTATTTTTACCTTTATAATTATATCCGTTATTCCTTCCTTTAATTCCGCAACCGCCTCGCCTACTCCTTTATTTAAATCGCCCTCTATTATAAATATATATATTTTTACTATATATTTATATACTAATCCTTATTTCCCTTATAAGCCCGATTAGTATATTCGCTTTTCCTCTCCATTCTCTTCCTTTTTACTCTATCCTCTCCTTCTTCTTACTTTATACCTATAATTAACCTTTAATCGGCTATTCCTTTTTTATCCTCTAGTAATATCCGCCCCTTCGCCTACTTAGAATATAATGTTACTTTAGCCTAAACGTTTATTAGTACTCTAACTTTAAATTTGCGTAAAGTATTCCGTCTAATTAGTACGTATATTTGTTAGATTAAAGGTATGCTATTTACCCTTTATTATCTCCCCTATTTTTTTTTTTTTTTTTTTTTTTTTTTTTTTTTTTTTTTTTACTAACGTCTTCCCCTTCCAGAGTTCAACGAAAGATCGCAGTATTCGCTATCGCTACGCCGCTACATGCTCGAGGTCCCCTACGGTATTTATAATTTCCGGAATAATATATAGGATATAGCGGCCGAGATTGTACGTTTTACTAATATTAATAACCCCCTATTTGCCCCCCTTTTATAGCGGTTATGTTGGTTTGTAGTAGTATTTTAGGTTGCGATATAAGTATGCTTTATTAATAATAGTCTCCTTACGATATTGCTTAGTATATTCCAAATTAGGAATTTCGATTGTAAGGGTTACTTAAGATTTGGTTATTATAGTATTAGCGATATTAATATTAATATCGATCCGGTAACCCTTATTAATAGTCCTGTTACTGGTAATAACGGCTTTTCTATAAATATCTTTATACCGAATTCTCTTGTTTATATTACCCCCTCCCCTGGTTGCGGTTGGGGTCCTTAGCGTTAGACGGTTAATAGGAGGCTAGTATTTATAAATAGGAAATTAAACGAATTATTAGAATTTGCGAGGGAGGACTATAAGTAGATAGTATAAAGTAGTATTTACGAATATTATTAATAGGTGTGGTAGTATGCGGGAGTATTCCTTTTAAAATTGTAGGTTCTAATCCTATATTAATAATAGTAGACGCCGCCGAGGATTTTTTTATTTAGGGCGATAATAGAAAATACGGGCTATATTCTACTTAGCGCTTTATTAGTATCCTACGTTAAATTAAACTACCTTCCCTTCTTATTTCTTATCCCCTCTAGCGTTTTTATTTTACATTTCCATTTTATATCTTTATTTTTATATCCTTACTTTGTACTTTACATTTGTATTTTACATTTGTGTTTTGTATTTATATTTTATATTTTACATTTATATTTTATATTTGTGTTTTATATTTTATATTTATATTTTATATTTGTATTTTATATTTTACACTTGTATTTTACGCCTGTATCTTACGTTTACGTTTTGTATTTGTGTTTTACGTTTTACGTCTACGTTTTACGTTTATATCTTGTGTTTTACATTTGTATTCTACGTTTGTATTTTATGTTTTACGTTTGTATTTTATATTTATATTTTATATTTTACGTTTATATTTTATATTTGTGTTTTGTATTTTATATTTGTATTTTATATTTCTATTCTGGATTTTTAAATAATTATTATTCTCCTTCTACTATTTAATTAATCTTTATCGACCTAATAGTCAACCCGTTACTAGTACGCCGCCGTTGTATCTTCCTAGTTTTATACTTTTTGAAAAAGTCTAGGTAATTTATATCCTCTTATAAAACCTATAAATTTTTATTATTTAGATACCCCTTTTATTTAATTTAGAATTAATATTAACGGCCGGATTTATAATACTTTACAATCGCTTCAACTTTATATTAAATATTATTTTCCTTAATATTTACAATTTCCCTTTGTAACGCTATTATAATAGAATTCC